TTGTTTGTTCTAACATCATTGGTGAGATAGTGACTATTCGTTTGACTTTTGCTTCTAAAATGAGCTTTCGATGCTGCTTCTCAAAGTTAACTTCTTGTTACACTCATCACTAGGTCTGGTCAAAACTATTACGGGTTCACCTTAGTCGAATAACGGGAACCAGCTTCCAGGTAGGCCACTATGATCTGTAAACCCAAAAATACTAACGAGAAGTCTTGATATAGCATAGGAAGTGTATTCCACAAACACCCAGCCAGAACACAAATCGCGTTTAACTTATACACCATAGAGACGTCCATGGAAGAGTCACTAAATAGCCCACTAAAATAACACAGTACCCAATCACAGCCAAGGCTTTTCCTGGTGAAAATGTGATCTTAGGGTTAACTGATCGGCCCATAAATAAAATCCAAAGTAATGACATTTATCAAGCGAGTTCTGGGGATCTTACATCCTCAGCAGTTCTAGTGACCAAACCTCCACTGATGGTAGATACAAATCTTGTATTGTAATAAACTTACTTACTTACCTACTTACGCCTGTTACCCACAATGGAGTATAGGCCGCTCACCAGTTTTCTCCAACCAACTCTGTCCTCGGCTTCCTTCTCCAGTTCTGTCCAATGTTTGTTCATTCCTCTCATATCTTTCTCTATTTCTCGGCGTGATGTGTTTCTTGACCTTCCTCTTTTCCTTTTGCCTTGAGGTTTCCATGTGAGGGCTTATCTCGTGACGCAGTTAGGTGCTTTTCGTAGTGTATATCCTATCCACTTCCACCGCTTCTTCCTGATTATCCTCCTCCACTGGAATCTGGATTGTTCTCTCCCACAGTAGGTTGTTGCTAGTCGTGTCTGGCCAACGAATTCGAAGTATTTTGCGTAGACAACTGTTAATAAACACTTGTATCTTCTGGATGATGGCTTTCGTAGTTCTCCAGGTTTCCGCTCCATACAGTAGAACTGTCTTCACATTTGTATTGAAAATTCTGATTTCGGTTTCGGTTGATGTTGTTTGGAGTTCCAGATATTTTTCAACTGTAGAAATGCAGCTCTTGCTTCGCCAATCCGCGCCCTCACATCTGCATCGGATCCACCTTTCTCGTCGATGATGCTGCCCAGATATGTAGAGGTGTTAACGTCTTCCAAGGCGTGTCCATCGAGAGTGTTTTGGTTGGTTCATGTTGTGTTGTATCATAGAATCTTACTTTTCCCTTTATGTATGTTGAGGCCTACTGCTGAGGAGGCTGCTGCTACACTGGTCGTCTTCTATTGCATTTGTTGTTGCGTGTAAGATAGAAGAGCCAGGTGATCTGCGAAGTCCAGATCTTCCAGCTGCGTCCTAAATGTCCAGTTGATACCGTGCTTCCCTCCAGATGTCGACGTCTTCATAATCCATTCGATGACCAGGAGAAGGAGAAAAGGTGAGAGTAAGCAACCTTACCTGACACCGGTCCTCACCTCGAAAGAGTCTGTTAGCTGTCCTTCGTGTACGATTTTGCAGTTGAATCCATCATAAGAATTCCGTATGATGTTAACTATTTTCTCAGGCACACCGTAGTGTCGAAGAAGCCTCCACAGTGTTTTCCTATCCACGCTATCGAATGCTTTCTCGTAGTCGATGAAGTTGATGTAGAGTGGTGAGTTCCATTCAATTGATTGTTCCACAATGATCCGTAATGTAGCGATTTGGTCAGTACACGATCGATCCTTACGAAATCCGGCCTGTTGACCTCGAAGTTGGGCGTCTAGGAAGTCCTTCATTCTGTTTGACAATACTCTGTTGAAGACTTTGCCTGGTATTGAAAGAAGAGTGATGCCTCTGTAGTTCTCACACTTGTTGAGATCGCCTTTCTTTGGTATTTTGATCAGGTATCCTTCTTTCCAATCTGATGGTACTTGTTCCTCATCCCAAATCTTCTTGAAGAGGTTTTGAAATATTTTCGCAGTTGCTTTCACATCTGCTTTCATTGTCTCTGTTGGAATGTTGTCTGGTCCTGCTGCTTTGCCGTTCTTGATTTGTCTGATGGCCATACTGATCTCCTCAATCGTAGGTGCGCCAATATTAATTGGGAGATTCGTGGATGCTGCTTCGATGTTGGGTGGGTTCAGTGGAGCTGGTCGATTCAGGAGTTGCTTAAAGAGCTCTACCCACCTATTTCGCTGTTGTTCAGTGTTGCTGATTACTTTCCCTCCCTTGCTTTTCACTGGTCGTTCTGGTTTACGATAGTTCCCGGCGAGCTTCTTTGTTGTTTCGTACAATTGTCTCAAGTTTCCTTCTCTTGCAGCCTTTTAAGCCGTCATTGCTAGATCTTCCACATATTTTCGTTTGTCAGCTCTGATGCTCTTCTTCACTTCCCTGTTTGCTTCTGTGTATGCAGCTTGTGGGGTAACTTTCTCTGCTCTTGTTCGGCTGACATTGATTGCTGCCTTCTTGTTCCTCCATTCTTCAATTTTCGCAAGAGTACCAACAGAGATCCATTCCTTGTGATGGTACTTCTTGTGACCCAGAACTTCGTGACAAGTTGAAGTGATTGCCTCCTTGATCCCTTTCCAATTGTTCTCCAATGTTGCGTCCTCTCCATTGAGTAGATCCTGAAAGGCCTGGAACCTATTGGTGAGAGCTATCTTGAATTCGTTGAGTTTTACGGTATCCCGAAGAAAGGCCGTATTAAACTTGTCCATTGCTTCTTTAGTTTCGGTTTCATTTTGGTGACCATCGAGTGGTGATCTGAAGCTATATCAGCTCCTATCTTCGTTCTCACATCCTCTATAGTCCTTCTGAACTTTTTTTTGATATAGATATGGTCAATTTGGTTTTGAGTATTGTGGTCCGGTGAAATCCATGTGGCTTTATGAAAGCGTTTGTGCAGGAATATTTTGTCACCGATGACCAGTTTGTTGAAGGCATATAAGTTTGCGAATCTCTCACCGTTTTTGTTTCTTTCTCCCAGTCCATGTCGTCCCATTATATCTTCAGATCCAGTGTGGTCCATTCCAACCTTGACATTCAGGTCTCCCATAAGAATCGTCAAATCCTTTGGTGAACATTTCTCGACGATTGACTTCAGCCTTTCGTAGAACTGATCTTTAACGTCGTCATTGTAGTCATTGGTAGGTGTATAGCATTTGATGACGTTCAATGTAATATCCTCTTTCTTTATTTTGAAGGATGCTTTGATGATCCTCGGTCCATGAGATTCCCCCGAAGCTAGTCTCAGTTGTCCTACATGTGTTCAATGCGTTTCACTGATGCCGAGCACCTCGAGGTTGTATCTTTTCATTTCTGCCGCAACTTGAAATAGTCTTCCAGTCTCCCACAATGTACGAACGTTCCATGTACCTAAAAGAATGGTTGCTCTGGTTGCCAGAAGAGGCATCAACCCCGTGACTTCCGAGGGAACTCGGCTTTCATCACGCGACGTCATAATTCTTCTTCCAACTGCCAGGGCAGAGTTAAATGTTTTGAATTAGTTTTTCTGGTTAGCGTTTTTTTGCAAGTTAGTTTTTGACGGAATGGGGTCGCCAACCCCATGTCCAACCTTCCTCCTTTACCCGGGCTTGGGGCCGGCAGTAGACCCGAAGGTTCTACTGGCGGAGTTGTATTATAATAAAACCATAAGAATATTTATCTTGAATTTGTTTAAGAGACCACGAATCAAAACATATATCTTCTAATTTACCATGTACGATCATATCAACATCACTTTGGTAAATGGTTGTTAAAACTTCAGTTAATTCGTTATAGTTGTGTGAAATACACGCAAGCATTAACATGAACCTGTCAGTCGAAAAAACAAAAGTCTAATCTTCATTAGTCTATCGCACTGTTATTCCTGATACATTTTTGAGTATGCAACCACCTTAAACTAACAATTCTAAACTTAAATCATATTTATCTATTTATACTTTTCATAGCAGCCATAACGTTCAGTATATTTGGTAAATATGGCAAAAATGCTCAGTCTGTAGTTAATTCGAGAATATACTAAGCTTGAGAAAAATGTCGGATTAAAAACCTTAAACCCGTCGTTATTTGCACCTTTGTTTTGATTGTGTGTCCTTTTTGATCTGTTTCTTGATCCTGTGTCACCTATGATTTTCCTGATTGGTTGATAAATTGGGTCAATGTCGATGTGTTTGTTGATTGCTGAATGACCTGAGTGCCAAGCTTTAAAAATTCTCTAGTGTTCTTTGTCCTCCCCCTACCCAGTATTTCCACATTGTTCCAATCGAATGTGTGTCCATTATTGTCGGTGTGTATTGATATAAGCGAAGCGTTGTCGTGGCGTTCGACTGCTAATTGCTGTTCACGTAAACGGAGCTGAAGAGGCTGTCCACTTTGTCCTATGTAGTATTTTTATGAAAGCTTCACAAACAAAATATCCAACACAGAGAACGAAAGATCACCAAAATCATCCGTCTGAGCTACAAATTTTCTTCACCATCTCAAAATATTCACGTACTAACTCAATAGTTTGATTTCGTTTAACTGTGATGAAGTAAAACACAAGATAAACTGCATCAGTTTTCATTAAAATCTTATATCTAGCGTATAGTTGGAGATGTTCATGAAAAATAGTTAGATATTGAAAGGCATTCAGTTACAATATTTTGCATATTAGCAGTTGAGGTACTAGGTTCTCAGTTTTATGTTATTATAAATCAAATGATCTAGTAAAAATGCTGATTTATCATTTGTAACAAAATATCTCTGTAAAGACAACCTGACGAAGCTTCCAAGGCAATGCTCTATGCATTGAATCTAACAATCAAAAGTCACGTTAACAAATAAATTAGCTATTAAATGTACTTTTATTTATAATGTTCACTTATGACTTAAATATTTCGGCTAAACAAACGTTTGAATCTCATTATTGATAATGGTTCCAGTTATTTTAACTCAGTCCACTAGTATCTTATATTTCCAAACGATCATGGGTGAAGAAAAGAAGCACAGTTCAATAATATCACATTATATTTTATAACAACGAAATATATCCCGGTGAAATATACGATTATGTACAGGATTAGAAATTCTTGAAAGCATTTCGAAGAAAAAAATCGATGGTTTTATGTAATTTATGAAAGGAAAGGTTCATTCGATTTATAACATATGTATTCCAACTGTAAATATATTCATAAATCTACTATAGAGATTTGTTTGCTATAATGATCCATAATAAAGTTGTAATTCTCTACTCTTCTTCTGTTGTTACTTCTTTGCTGTTTTTTTTCCTTCAGTTTATTGATAGACATAACTGCCTGAATAAAATCCATTGACTGATTAAATAACTAACAATTCATATTGAATCATTGAATGAATCTTATCAAAGCAGATGGTTAACATTTTTTTTTATTCAACAAAATATTTTAGATAATAGTAATTCAGACAGAAGTAGTGATATCATAGTGAAGTTTCAAAATATATTAAGCATACATTTGTTAAATGCAATCAGGTTGTATAGGACTGTATCTAGATGTTTGATGATTTTCTTCGCTAATTTGTATAAAAGAATAATGACGACTTTGTTGTGGATAATGATGATTTTGACATGGTTGTATTGTATGACCATAAGATTGTTTAAGTGATGGTGAATAATTTATGCTGAGATTATGTCGTGGTATTGATTTTTGTACAGCAGAATCCTGAAATTCATGCGTTTTCGTTGTTTCTGGTAGTTTCACTGTCGGTTTATGATTAACTAAACAAGGTGAGTTCACAAAATGAAAACATGATTGAAACCGGTGTTTCACTTGTGCTCTAAACTGTGGACCACTTAAACAATATAATAAGAAGTGTACTGCAAAATTGGTATACCATAAAACATAAACAAATCGTTCAATACCAAAAACTAGTACACCCCTGATTACTTCATCTTTTTCAATCCAAGTATTTAAATTGAACGCAAAGTATATTACATCATAAACAAGAAGTGGACAAACACTTATTATGAAAAACATATTAATCGCTAGTAACATTGCTGTCAATGATGAAGGTTTATTCAAATTTGAACGACCTTTAATCGAATTCTTAGCACAATGTTTTAATGCACTTGATTTACATCGCTTTTTAGCATATTGCACATTGTTGACATTTGTTGACTGTTCATCTTGTGTACGACAGTCATTTACTTTACCTGGTATTAAAGTGGGTGGAGATTTTATTGTTCCTTGTGGTTCTGGTTGATGTGTTGATGGTTGATTTAAAAATAAACGATTCTTTTGTCGTTTTTTATTAAAATCACTCATTCGTTTCAATTGTATTCCAATTAATCCATTCGCTATCAGCATAAATAAACATGGAATTACACAGACCAGTAATAGATCAATATATGGAAATATAGTTTGCGTAAAATAACTCGGTGTACATTTGTAATAAGTAATATTGACGGTAGAATTTATGGAATCAATATTATAATTCATTGTCCAAAAGAAATGTGAATCAAATGCAAATAGAATAATTATTATACTGAATATAGTTAACCATGCATTACGTGTTGTACATACACGTTTTGCATTGAATGGTTGTACAACCCAAATTGCTCTATCAATAGTGACTGAAACTAATAACCATACACTTAAATAAGCCAGTGTATAACTTAAATATGGTGTTAAAATACATGAGATCAATGAATAATGTCTAATATCACTTGGAAATAAAAAGGTATAATTAATGATTGTCACTAATAGTCCAGTAAGTAAATAAAATATATCAACAATAGCCAATACACTTAAATAAATCAATGTACTGGATTGCTGTAAACGTTTTGATTGTAAAATAACAACAGTCAATCCATTACCAAATAAACCAAATATTAAGATTATCAAGTAGAATGGAATACAGATATTTTTGATTAATACAACAAGAGCTGGAAGATTCATTGTTGGTAATTGTTGTTTGGTTGGCTTTCACAAAATTAGTGGATACTATTCCATCAAGGAACAAAAGAACAAACTAATTCTAGAAAATAAGAGAAAAAACAAAACAAAAGTATGATGATTACTTATGTAATTAATTAGATGAAATATTTTGCAACAGGTTTATTTCCTGATATTATTGATTAAACATATGCGGGTGCGTCAGATCATTTCATAACAAATTATCGCCTTTGTTATCGACCGCTTTTGGAAGATACGGAAGTATTAAAATACATTTTGAATAACACAATCTAGGATGAATGGTATATCTGTGAAAATGAATGAGAACTAGACCTATATTATCCGAATTCACTAATAATGAAATATATTCACTGGTTTCACAGATTTTAGTACTCTTTGTTTTAACATCAACTATGATGAACACTTTTAATTTATTTAAATAGAAATGAATAGAGAAGAATAAAGATATTTTTGAAAGTTTTATTGTATCATGAAGAAAATTAGAATTGATTATGATATTATATTTTTTGTTTTTGGTCCTATGCGTGTTAAAATTACTGCACGAAGTAGTAAACACTTAGCAAACCACCATGTTGAATTTCAAACTGACAACTGGGATTAAATGAAACAGTATGAGAATTTTCTATTTAGATTTTTTTGAGGGATTACCTCGTTTTCAATCCCAGTCTATTACGGCTTATGCAATAGATAGGCTTAATATAATTAGTTAATAAAACGTAGGAACTTGGAAACTTGGAGAACTACCAAAGCCATCATCCAGAAGATACAAGTGTTTATTAACAGTTGTCTACGCAAAATACTTCGGATTCGTTGGCCAGACACGACTAGCAACAACCTACTGTGGGAGAGAACAATCCAGATTCCAGTGGATGAGGAAATCAGGAAGAAGCGGTGTAAATGGATAGGACACATTGCGGAAAGCAACTAACTGCATCACAAGACAAGCCCTCATATGGAACCCTCAAGGCAAAAGGAAAAGAGGAAGGTCAAGAAACACATCACGCCGAGAAATAGAGAAAGATATGAGAGGAACGAACAAACATTGGACAGAACTGGAGAAGGAAGCCGAGGACAGAGTTGGTTGGAGAAAACTGGTGAGCGGCCTATACTCCATTGTGGGTAACAGGCGTAAGTAAGTAAGTAAGTAAGTAAGGGATAATTCATATGAATTTACAACGTACAACGACGTGATTCTTTATGTTGATCAGAAGAATCACACTTAATTATTAGCCAGATATTGTATTGTGTTTGTTACGAAATAAAACAGATACTAGCAACTAATGAATAACACAAAGAAGATAAAGTTTTCATGTTGTAAGTATAAATCAAACAGACAGTTGAACTTGCTGAATTGCAATTTAATTAATTATATGTCAAATCACACCTAACGTTAACATGGTGAATCTTAAGCTAGGTCACAGTGATAATTTGTTATATTTCGATTGGATGATCTACTGTTATTAATTAATTTGATAAAATGTAAATTTAATACACATTTAAATAAAGTAGTTCAGTGGTACAATCCATTTGACTGTCAGTCAACATTTTTTTTTTTACTTTCACAAAGATTTGTTGCATATTATTGTCTTTTTATAGAGAAAATCAAAATTTAAAATTAGTATTTTTCAAAAAGGGTGATGCAATCAATTTTCAGGAATTATGGCTCATAGTAGTAGTATTCTACTTATAGTTGATGTACAGCATGAAACTGAAAACAATCATAATTATGTACCTAATCCACATAACATGATCTAAAAGTAAAATAAAAACAATAATTATATTATAAACCTCAATTTTCAAAGTGTTTTTTTTTCTCCCTACATGACATTCACGCACAATAGTAGGTAACATAATGAAATATTAAGCTTGCATAAAAGATTATTTCTCTGTTACAGTGAAGAGTAAAAACTTTTTAAATTCTTCTACGAAGTAGTTACCATTCCAAAGCAATTTAATCGATACAAAATCATAAGTGTACCACAAGAAAAGACTTACAAACTTTTCCGGTCGAATTAAGACATAAGATAAATTGTTTAAATAGATGTAAACAAAATTACTGGAAAACGTTATCTATCATCAGACAGGTAGGATCAATGTATCTGAACTGTAAAATATGAGCACATAAATGAGTGGTACTTAGTGAAAGTTTTTGCAGTGTCACGATATATTTTGTAAGGAAGAATTGTACTATTTTTTTCAAATAAGGTCATATCATAATTATTGTAGGGAATGAATAATTTGTAAAGATAAATGGTATGGTTCACCAATCAAAAGTCGCCAAATAGCAAACCCACATCGTGTTGGTCGTAAATCTTTAAATGATCAACGCATATGGTTTGCCAAGAAATAATTTTATTTTCTATGGAGTAGGCTATATATATATATATATATATATATATATATATATATATATATATATATATATATATATATATATATACGAGTGCATTGAATATGATTTGGTTTAACTTATCGTTTACAGTATCTGTGTCGATCACCGCGCATGTTAGCGATAATCCTGTGTTTTAGTTTATCAGGATTAATCATCATAATGATTTCTATATCCAATGCAAACAATTCGACTCAAAGAGCTTTTAAATAAATATTTTTATAAAAACAACCAACCAAAGCAATTAGAGTCAATAATCACAATGACATAGATTACGTCACTACACATAATAGGCAAAAGTACAAGTTGATTAAAGGAAGACAGGTGTACTGATAGAGAAATATAAAATACGATAATAAAAGTTTTATCAATAGTTAAACAATGGAGATGTTATGTCAAACGTGGATAAATAGACTTAAAATAATCATGACAAAATATTAAACCATTACGTAACAAGAAGTGTGTACATATTTAGATAGTGAATATTATAAACAGGAAGAGGCAGAATATTACCAACAAGTACAGGATATGAAAATAATGCTAATTATAACAAAACTAAAAACCGTTTATTGAGTTATATCCGGCCATATAACGGATAAGGATGTAACGCATTTCTTCTGAACACGTAAATTGCAAGTGAATGTCCGAATTTCTTTGGTTTCTGCTATATTCAAGAGATGGGATCGTACTCCTTTGGGAAATGATGGAGGTGTATGACACCTGTCTTCCTACTATCAACTTGTACTTTTACCTATTATGTGCAGTGACGTAATCTATTTCATTGTGATCATTGACTCGAATCGCCTTGATTGGTTTAACGATTTCATATAAATAACCAGCTCTGTTAATGCAATTTCTGGAGGTAATTCAAACTTATCAGTGTATTTATGTTTACTTTCACACTTATTTGATTGTTTTCAATGCTTAAAATAAATAAATTGCAGCTGTTATTAGTAAATCTAAGCTATGTCAGGTGAACATCAGATTTCAAATATATAAATTATTTAGCGTTACGTTCTTGCAAACTGATCATGTCTCATTTGCACAGAAGCTTTCAGACTAATTAAATGAAATACATTTGGTTTCCTCACATGGAAACAAATGTTTTAGAGATAAAATTCATCTTCGTTACTACACCTAAACATTTTAGCGACTTCTTTATTTCAAGCTCCATGTAGATTTTATAATCTATTTAGCTAAACACATTTCATCACTACAGTTTCCATATGCAAATACCAAATCTATGCATAATATTCATTCTTTATTTAAACTTCCTGAGAGAACGGGAAACAAACAAACTTAATAATTACCGACTCTTTTATGTGGCAAAGTTTGGATTGATGCATCCAAAAAGTTGAAATCAAACTGTACCTTTTCCATAGGTATCAAACATTAATATATGAAGCGATTCTAACTAAAGTGGAAGGTACCTTAAGTAATTATCGCTATGACTAATAAGCTGTTCATTTGTTCATAATTTGAAAGTCTTTGGTATGACATTTTTTACTGATGTAAGTATTCTGTAATCGCAAAAGAAGCGATGAATAGGGTTATTGTAGAATATGATTTTCATTACCGGCTGGAATCGCATGAAGGATTATTGAAAAAAAGTGATATATTGAAGAACTGTATAATTTTATTTTTGGACCGGTCATGTAAGATTCACTTCAAATCTAAAATGTTTTGTGGTTAGCCTTCTTTTCGTCGACCACTCATGTAAACTTTAACAAAAGTTTATTTCCCTCTTCAACTGCTACTCGATCTGTAAGATTGTATGTATATCATTCTTTATTGATATTACCCTACAACGGCTACAGAAATAATGAATTGCACAGTACAATGCATTAGTAGTCTTTAATGATTATTTCAACTGACTTTTAAACGTTTTAGGAATCAAGTTAAGTATAAAATACGTATCTAATGAAGTTATTTTATTGGAAATTAATATGAGACAAAGAAAAATTTCACATACGGAACATTTATTGTCTTAGTTCTCGATATTTTCAGTTTGGAACACATCACATAAAAGAAAAACTATTTGAAACCAAATCACTAGTTCAGTACTGATGGCTGAAACTTGAAAGTATGTTTATTAAAACTAACTGTCCACAGCATTATAGTATCACGTCATTTCAAAAACAATCTATTGATGGACTATATCATTTTTTTCTAAAGCCAAATCTATTGTGTTGACTTGTTCTCAGGGAAAATTTATTACGTTTGTAAGGAATTATTTTATCAGATAAATGATCACTCTACTGCTTTAAACGTTGATAAGAAAAAAAAATTTGATAGACAACTCCTAGTTATATGTCCTTAGTGAGAGTTTTAGGTGCACGTAAATAAATATTGAGGGTAGTCATGCCGACATTGATTTCAGTAGAAATAAATGACCAAACAACTCATTGATAAATTTAAATGATCACCGGAATGCAAAAACTGTATAAACAGCATTAATGAGGGAGTAAAACACAAAAATTTATTGATTTTGCGTAGAATTATGCATTAATTTATTCTTTGAATTAGGATTTGAGGAATTTTCACTGGTTTTTATGTTAATAGTCCTATTTGTTCCGTAGAAGAAGCGGTTGTCTAATGAACACTATACAATTCAATCAACACTTTCCTCGTTTTATTCTTGTTTTCTAGATTTATAAATAAATATACATAGT